CTTACAGTCTTATTTGTTTGTATGGTACAGATTTTAAATTTGTAGAAAGTAATAAAAAAAGAAAAACTTCAATGAAGAAATAAAATACTCTATGATGAACACTTAGTATCTGAATTACAGAAAAAAATATGACTTCTATGGAAAGCTGACACACTTTTTTCCCCCTTCATTAGACTTAATCAACATTTTTACTAAATCAGTTATTTATGTCAAATGTTATTTAGAGTGACTAACTAAGAAACGTATATATCAAACAGAAACTGAAAATACTGTGTTAGTTTACCATAACATAAAGTTCAAGCAAACATTTTGAAAAGTGTATTATTAAAGAGATAAGCAGTTTCCCTTCTGGTTTTTACTTGATTGTTCTAATACAAGTAGGGTCAATATTATATTTTAATTGCTGTAGAGGAGAGCAGTGTTGTACTTCTTAATATATGGAACATGTTGAATCATTTATATAAAGTCAAAATTAAAACTAACACTGATAATTTTCATGATAAAATATTGTATTAAACATATTACTTATATTTACCATGTCTTTTAGACGCTAATAATCAGTATTAACATTGCCTTTTAAGACCTTTTTTTTATGTATTTGTTGTACAGGAGAGTAGGTCATCACATAATTTGGTGTAACATTTTCTATAAAATGTTACCTTTAACTTGCTTTGATTCATTCATATGCTTATGCTTCTTTTTTATTGATTCAGGGTTTATTTAGAGCAATAATATTTTTTGTTTCCTAAGCTCATTACTAATAGCTTAATTTTTTCAGTAAATAACCTTAAGATGGTTAATACAAGAGCTGCCAAGCTAAGCCTTATTGTGTGGCAGTATACTATACTTGTTTGTTACTATACACACACACACACACACATATATATATATATATATATATATTATCGCAAAAGCTATTCCCTTAATCAATGCTTTGTTGGTAAATAGAACTGTCACTCAAAAGGGTAACAGTTACGTCATATCACTCATTCTTCTTAAATGATAAATTTCTAGTTTTACTTTCACACATAACTTATCTCTTGTATTAATTTCAAGCAAAATTTATCTCTAGTTTTAGTTTCACAAATTTTAAAAGTGCTCACATGGCATGTGATGTAATTTAGTTTACAGTGGTTTACTTTTCTCAACCAGTAATAAATTCAGTACTTATGTGCAAGTTATCTAAGTATACATGTTTCTTCTACATGCAAGTTTAGGTTTTATTTTGTTTGTTTTGATACAAGTAGAGTCAAAATTATATTTTAGCTGCTGTAAAATAGAGCAGTGTTGTACTTCTCGATATATGAAACATACTGAATCATTTTTCTAAAGTGAAAATTAAAACTAATGCTCTGGTAATTTTTGTGATAGAATATTGTATTAAACATATTATTTATATTTACTCTCTTTTTCTATACCAATAATCAGTATTTTATGAATAAATAAGCTTAAGATTATTAATACAAAGGTTGACAAGTTAACCACATTTACAAGTGCTACCATATTTGTAGAGTGTTAAGCTGGTCTCAGATATCAATGTTTTCTGACTCTTACCATCAGATAGATATTTCCAGTACAGTTCATGATTGCTAGTTAGCCTGTTCTGAGATGATTCTCTTGTTACTTGAATATCCCTGCTATCCAGTTACTCCATGTCTGCGAACACTGGGAGAACCATGCGATATTTTCACTCTTAATATGTAGATTAGAAAATTTGATCTTAGGAAATTTTTTGTATGAATAAAACTATGGTGATAACCTGAACCAGTTTGTTACTCTTTGATTATGTTAATATAAGTTGTCTTGGTAGAATTAATATAGTGATTTAAAATTTGATGACTAATTTCATTCAAGTGGTACTTGATCAAATACAGTCTTTTTCTCTATAGAACTTAGTAATAAAATGAACTTGAATTTTGCCTTAACTATAGAATTAAAATGGTATGTTTAAATAACTGATGTTTATATAACTGATTAGACAGAAAGTTAAAAATATTTCCTAGTTAGTAATTATAAACAAAGTGAAAAAAATCTAAAATTTAGTAAGTAACTTGGAAAATGTTGTGATGTATCTGGTAAATGTAGTAAAATGGTAACCACGACACACACTACATATAACACTATTAATACAGTGCTCATTAAATAGTTCTGATAATGAGCTCAAAGTTGGCCCAAAATGTGATGCCTATACTTTTGCAATTTATTAAAAAAATACTATTCAGAGTATACAGTGGCTTTTGAATACGTTTATATTTGGAATTTCTTCCATTATGATTGTGGTCATCTTGTTTCAACATTGCTTGGTGCTGCTCTGTATTTCATGTGCCGCCAGGAATACCAACTTCCGGGGTTGTAAATGGTGATCTCGTTTTAGCCTTACCACTGCCTATATATGCTAAGTGATTCAAAGGTCATTGTTTTTATACAT